AATAATAACGTACACACTTAACATAGCCCCACATTAGGGAAACCCTGTGTCGCGGGTGCCATGGACACACACGTAGACAACCACAAATTATACCCAAACTCACGAGATAAATAAATGTAGGCCATACAAATATTTCTCCCGGCCCGGGAATCGAACCTGGGACCTCTGCGTGGCTTTCCGGCGCGGGTTATTTATTATGATTTTATCAATTACTATGTAGGTACTTTATTGTTCAAGTATGGTACTACGATAATAAATACGCAAATACGTTAGTTCGTAAGTGTGCTTTGGCGACATAAATAGATAAAAGGATATACTTAAGAATATCGATCGAAATAGGATAAATCACGTCAGTCTTTCTTAACCAGGCCTTCAAATATTATCAGTTGTTACATTATCTGGAGAATATTTTCGACGTTGTTTTAATACAGAGTGAAGTGGCGTGAAGATGACGAAGGTAACAAAGTTGTAACGAATCATGGCAGCTAATTCATATTTTTACAGACACTAAAGGATATTACAGTTCAAACAAAAATGAAGTGAAGGTCTTTGAAGGCATCACATTAAACATATTTATTTTTAAACCCCAACGTAAATTGTTGTCAGTTTGGTAGATACTTGAGTCTCTAATGCTCTTAACAGAATCATAGTTGTAATCTGCAGTTATGTTGTTGAAGAAGTTTTGTTTCGCGATCTTAATTCGGGGGTTAGCTCGACTACTCCTCATTTGACAAAATCGATTTAGAGCCTAGATGAAGCCATCATACTTAGTATACATCTTGCTTTTTTATCTTGCCATCTATTTTTTGTTTTATTTAAAAAAAAAACACTAGTGCACTCGGTTTATAAATCTGGGAACAGAGACTGTAAGTAATTATCGCCCAACAATCGTCCTACCAACTTTCTGTAAAGTGTTAGAAAAAATGATAAAAAAGTCGAAAGTCGTGTTATCAAATTGTTGTTATTACGCAAAACAATATACTTTTGTATTGTCAGCAAACCTATATGGCTTTCGGGCCATGAGATCTACAAACGATGCTGTACATAATCGTACGGACCACGTCGCTAGAGATGTGGACAAAAAGAAGTGTCTGGCTATCTTCTTGGATCTTGCTAAAGCGTTTGACTCGATCTCTGTTCTTAATAAGCTAGAAAGTATAGGGATTCGTAGTACACAGCTAAAACTCTATAGGTCCTACCTCTCTAAAAGAATACAGCGCGTCAAAATTGGAGACCAAATCAGTGACGACATTCCCATAGAGTATGTTTCGCAGGGAAGTGTTTTTGGTATTTCACTCTAGCTACCCGCCGCCATGAAGGAAGAATATACATAATAAGTATACAGGAAGAATTCAATAGGGACACTGACAAAGGTAAAATGTCTGAATAAAATAAAATAAAACTGTTAATTTTGAAAAATCTGTTTTGTGTAAAACTGTCTCGTGTTGTAAAAAACTTTTTCTCATACCTCATATTAATCTCCTCTGAAAGAGACTCTTTATAGTTACTTTTAAAAATTGAGACACACTGATAATGACACTATTATTACAATGGTCTATCAAAGTTAGTGTTAGAGCGGTTAGACATGGTGCAGTAGCGATGTAGTCGCTAATCGTCTACCTTTACACACGCGCGCGATTTTAAGCAGCAACATTTAATTTTGCATTGATGCACTCGCTGCTAAAAGTCACCGTGTCTAACCTTCTTTTTTTTTTTTTTTTTGACGGGGGGGAAATCTTTATGGATACCCCTGAGCCCAGGGAGACTCAGGGGTTATGTGGGGACTCTCCCTCCACACTGGAAGGCCTACCCCACTAAAACCCCCCCGGGTTTCCCTCTCGCCGGTTGAGTCGGCGCCGTGGGATCAGTGAACATTCACCACGACGCCGCCCGGCGACCGTGTCTAACCTCTCTAAGGGTCGTATTCCAGAACTCTACTCAATACTCAAGTCAGGACTTGAGTATTGCAGTGAGCACTGAAAATCATACTCAAGTCCTTGCCATTAAGGTCGTATTTCCAGTGCTTGAAATCATACCCAAGTCTGCTCTAATCCTGACTTGAGCATTGAGTACAGTTCTGGAATACGACCCTTAGATATACCCATATGGCATAGTTGACGTAACAACTAGACTTGTGCCTGATTGGTCCTTAACGGGATCGATCCTAGTTAGTTCAATCGGTCAACTGAACTAGGTCGGTCTTCCAGTTCATCTAGTTCCTTAGTTAGTTAGTTCGTCTTGTCCTTGCTCGGACATTGAACGAACGCTCCAAACTAGTAATTTTATTCACATGAACTACTACGGACTACTTGTATTATGAGGTTAATACTGCACTGTACTAAATATTTAAAAATACAATTTGTGTGGAATCGGTACTATTTGATTTTCTTTCATATTTTACAGGTTTTACTGTCATTCTAACTAAATATCCTTTTTTTTTACAAAATGAGAATTTTGGTTAGAATGGTGTGTTTAAAAAATCAATATTTAGGTAAAACTATTTCATATACTAATACACGTAGGTTGATATTATACATACAGACACCTACCAAAAAATATTTTTTTTCAAGCTTGTATGTACATAATGTAGATACGTATTAGAGACTTAGAACGAGCTGGGATCGTTCAATCGTGCATCCCACTCGAACTGCTTGTACTAAAAGTAGTGAAAGATCGCTGTTTGTCCCACTCGCACCGTTCCTACTGTATACAAGACAGGTGAACTATCAACGCAGACAGTTCCTAGCTCGTACTGAACTAAAAAGAACGATGAACTATTAAAACCGTGCAAGACGAACTAGTTCATGTCGGTCAGTGTAGGGAATATATTCCTAATAGTTCGTAGTTCATGAACTATACAAGCCTAGTAACAACATGTACCGACTGTGAACTGTCGACCGGTACTACCTCAATTTCCTAAAGATTTCACTTTTTAATACCATTTACTCCGCAGCGTTGCAAGAAACTCCATCTCTGATACCTTTAATTTTGGCGCCAGAATCGACTTCATTCAACTTGTATTAATTTCTAACCAGATGCTATATAAATGACGTAAACAATTATTTTCTTCATCCTATAAAAATGTCAAAATTGAGATAGTACCGGTTGCCAGTTCACAATCTTCGGAAAGGGTCCCGAGAATGGTCTTAAAAATGTGTACTTTTAAGCCATATCGATATCCATCGAAGAACTATATAGGTATTGCGAAGTGTTGACAGTTCGTCTAATAATCACAATAAGTATCACTTTGAAACAGTATTTAGGACTGCCAGAAATCAGTGTAAGCCACTCACTCTCGCCAATCAAACCGATGTTGTCCCTCGTCTATTGCTAGAACGTGTGTAGAACATCATTTGACCACATATTCTACTTCTTCCATGGTCGATTCCTCTCTACAAAAGTAAGTGACAAAATGGTGACAAAGTGACAAACTGGCTCCGTTATTAGGTAGGTACACTGAACCGAAAATTTGTTACGCCTTTTTCATTAAACCAAACCACTCTATTTTGTGTTACTGTTCAAAGATCTCCATGCCCTAGACATGGGGAATAGCGTTACATTTCTATCGCCGTGACTGTCGGTTCCAAAAAAATCACAGTAATAAATCATCGTGATTTTGTCACGACTGTTACTTCCGTGACCTCGTCACGCCTATAACTTACATAACGATATACGGTTTTAGTCAGCGGCTTCTTTCTAATACTTATAGCCGTTTTTAATAGAATGATTTCAGTTTTTACTCCCTTTGTAATAAGTTTCAATTCCATTCAAAAAGTTGATTTTGTATTTAATGTCATTTTGTTTGTTACTTATTTAATGCGAATCTTTGGATAGTTAAAAATAGCAATAAAGTGTAATGTAATTATATTTCTAGTAGAATACACAAAGTAGATTATACATAAAAATAAAATACCAACTCTTCCTATAATAAAACAAATATACAAAAATATTTTACTTTGTTCATAAATAGGTTTATAATAACTGCTGCAGATTATTTTTATCCGCCGTTTCTAGTAGTAACAAGCACCTACGACCCTTGTGAGTGAGCAAAGAAAGTCATCCTATTTCATTCACTGCCATCGCCGAAGTGGCCCGATTTGAAGAGAACTACAACGAGTGGCGCGCTCAGTCACCACAGAACGGAGATCGCGCATTGTATCAAATACGTATGTCGTGATGTGAGTGACGGGGATAGCTATTGGAACGGAGGAACACTTACCTATGTGACTTTGGAACATCGTTCCTTCGGAACGAGTCACGGTGCTACTGTTTGACGGCGGATCATTATGATTTTTTCATCGTGACGTTATTTATCACCCACCTCTACCATGCCCCTGCCAATCATATTTTTTATACTCGTCTATTTGCACCCATATTCACCACTCCACAACAAAACATACACGCATCCTACATTGCAGGCTATATATGTATAACTTAAGATAAAAATTACGCTATTTTCATATTGTTCTTTCCCTTTCATAAACAGTTGTTCATATGTTTTGCTGCATAAGTGAAATAAGATTTAATCTCTGTCTTTTAAGATACAGGGTCACATTTAAGAGGCAGACTCATCTATTCGCTGCTACCCTATTCCATAATTCATATTTGTCCAATATGAATTGTCACATTTTTTCTTATTCTCTTAGATCATAGGTATATGTATGCTCTAAGTATTTTCTATTTGAAGTTTTGTATTTGCTACTTCTTTAATTTGTGGAAATAGGGAATATATAATTACATTGTAATTATTTCTCCGTAGTCGGGTAAACAGTTCTTAGTCCTGTATAAAAGTATTCTGATTTTTAAGGTTACGAGTAATGATGATGAAATAACAATCGGTATTTGTAATATACTTGAAAATGATTGACAGTAAGACACACGAAATCCATATCCATAATATGGAACCAGGTCATATCTATATCTAGAATAGTGTAAAAGTGAATCTCGTACTGTACTGTAGTTTGTGCGGTATGATGTCGGCGGCGCGGAGGCGACAGTCGTGAGTCGGCCGGCGGCGTCCGTACTCGACGCCTGTCGCATTCGGTTTCTCGCCAATGTGGCATTGTGATATATTTCTGATTCTTTACTGTAGTACTTAACATACTGTTACTTAAATTTCGAATACCATAAATTCATTGCTACGTTGTGGTTTCTTTAGTGTTTGTGAGTGAACGGCTATTGTCTGTACCAGATTAATTAATAAAGTATTCAGTGCCTAGCCAGTTTATTATGCAATGTTTAGTTTAAGCTTTCAGCAATAACATTTACAAATTTCCTTAAATGTGTGTGTGTTCTGTGAATTTATTTTAATTTATACGACGTTTATGAAACATTAAACATTTATTTTAAATTGCCCTTTTTTGTCGTGATTCAAGAATTCGCAGTAAAAAATGGAATCAAAAGTGATATTGAAGGATAAAAATCCTCATGACAACGCTAATATATTGTCGAAACTGTTTTTGACGTAAGTTCTTTTGTGTTTTTGTGCTTTTTATACCTGACCCAGACCTCGTGCGATGGGTGAATGACTTGTTTCCTCTCTTTCTCTCTGTCTCTCTCTCTACATAAAACTGAAAGTACCATAGACTAAGAACTTGAATGAGGTACCACCATAGACTGCCTATTCCTATAGAGAATAAAGACACCTGTACATAGTAAGTGTAAAACCAAGTAACTTACTCTAGTATATTTTTAATTTAATATACATTTTAGGAATTAATAATAATAATAGTAATAAAAACGCAGACACTCAACATAGCCCCGCACTAGGGAAACCCTTGTCGCGGGTGCCATGAACACAACATAGACGACCACAAATTACACCCAAACTCACGAAATATTTCTCTCGGCCCGGGAATCGAACTAGGGACCTCTGCGTGGCAGTCAACGGCAAAAGGCATGGGAACTGTTCGGCCACGGAGGCAGTTGCAATTACAATTATATTTAATTGTTACATTAAATAACGTTGCACAAACAAATAAATTACAATAAAACTAAGAGTTAAACTTAGGTTGGTACCTAACCACGTGCAACCGAGGAACTCCGCAAACACACATTAAAAATCCAGATTAAAATGATTAATTATAGATAACAATGAACAAATGGATTTGTTTGTTTATTTATTCTGCACTAGGTTTGTTGAGTCCATTTTGACTTTCATTGTTATTTTTAAATTACTTTTTTATGATTACCAAGTGACGGGACTAAAAAGTCGTGCGCCTGGTGCTAAGCGTCACGCCTGTCCATAAATAACAGTTGCAGTGTCGCTCCGAGTTTTAAATCGCAAAGATCTGAGCTGCACTGCTACTGGGCCCGTCACTCTGAGGCATAAGTTGAAAAGTGCCATGTGCTTGTAATTTCACCTGCACCCTTCCCCTTCAAAACCATAATTGACGGCGAAATCGATGAACGTACATAAAACATACGTACAGTCGAACATATAAACTCCTCCTTTTTTTGGAGTTGTTTAAAAGGGACTGTTCCGGTCAAGTCCGCCCAACCGAACCTCACGTTTGCGCGATGTTGACAGGTTCGCACGCACGTGTGTAAGTCCAACTAGAGCCAGAGCGTCTTCATCAGGCATAGGAACTACTGTTATAAAACATCTGCGTCCGTCCGATGAACTGAGACTGACTGAAGGTACACGTCCGTTCACACTATTGGACCAAATCTTTCAGTCCAAATCTATCCGGCCGCCACTCCGTGTGTCACAAGATAAACTCGGATCAACGAAGCGTGTTACTGTGGTACAGTGTGACATGCGGTCACACGAGCATGAGACGAGGCATAAGCTCTGAGATACTCACTCACTCCCAAGCTTAAAGGAATGTTACCGATTTTTACCCGATGCGTGTCATACAATGACTAAAAACACATGTGTGATGTTATTTTTGTTTTAATATAAAATACTCATTGAATTAAATCATGAAATATATATTGTATTGCCTGCCTATTGAGGTGAGGCTGCCTGTTAACTATTTCTGCCGCCAAACAATAGTGCTCGCTGCATTACTGCGTTCCGGCACATGAGATTTGTCAACTTCCTTGTTCGTCCCGTCACTTGGTATTATATAAAAAAAAATGCTCACCTCATTTGATATAGGACTTTGCGTTGCGCTTAGTGCTGATAGTGTTTCAGTGATTCTTCTTTTTCATTTAGGTAACACTAATTAATTAAGAACAGTTCACTACAATTTAATCAATCCATCTCTTCAACCATTTAATCAAGACATCTTAAAATAGTTTTTTATTTGCAGACAGCTTTTTCTTATATGCGAGAATTGAGGAATCACCATTATATTGTGGAAATTGGTACGAAGAATAGCTCTTAAACCAAAACAAGAAAGTACATATTATTAATCTTATTCTAAGGTACCAGAAGTCTAAAATATGAAGTAAACTCTGGAGTCAAAGATATACCTCTGTCTCTGACACCCGTAAGAAAGAACTAACTAGATAGGTATACCTTGCAATTATGTGTGTTTGCAATTTAATATAAAAAATACTGATAACTTCTAACAATATGAGCGATGGAAGTAAAATATTAATCTAGCCCGGGCTGGTAGATGTAAAGTTACCTAACTGGGTGACGAAATACTTTCATACAAAAATACGACAACAAGCACATAGAAAAATTCTTGTTAAGTTGGCATAGCGTCTGGCACGGCTTGCTAGAAGACGTCAGTTCTAATTCGGCCGGATCGAAGGATTTTTTTCTGTATTCGATCTTTGTATTAATAACAAACTAGTAGAGTAATTTTATAAAAAATAATTGAATATTAATTCAATACAAATTTAAAATAATTATAACTTTTTTTATTAAAAAATCCGACCTCAAAAGTTACCTTTTGCTGTGTTCGATACCGTGGTATCCTCAACGGTAACTGAAACGCATAATATGGAAATCCTCGTCAAAAGGAATAATTATAAGCCCAAACACAAGGTAGCTGCTGGTACATAGTTAAGGAGTTCTTCTCATCTTTCTGCCATTTCCATTATCAGATCAGTCACCACAAAATATTACTTTCATTAGAATTACGTCTATGTGGCAAGTTTTATTGAAATCGATTACCGGAAAGTGGGTGACATCACTTGATAGAAGGACGATAATTATATCGTCGTATATTTGTTATTTGTACGTTCAATTGACTGGTTTTTATTGTAAAATAAAGTTAAAGCCATGGTTGCGACGACACCACGTCCCTCGTATTCCTGAAAATTCGTCCATATCGTTAGACTCGATATAGGCTAAATTGGTCACTAATCTGGCGTACATAGGCACCGAAAGTTGGCATAATAAAAATGACCCACCTACGCAAAAAATACTTCACGAGAATCAGGATGGATTGGGCTCACTTACAAACTTAAGCTTACTTTTTTAAAAATCTTCAACTTTATCCCGTTTCCACCCAAAGCTTAGGTCTTTCACCTTTCTTTTACTTTCCAACAATCCTCTTTATGAGTCACGAGTAAAAACTATTATAATTCTTAATTCTATAGTGGCTGTATACTCGTAAGCTGAATCGAACAAGCTGTATGCAACGCTATTTGATGAAACAATGATTATTCCAATTTGTTATTATGCTCGTGTCGAATTGGCTAAATGAAACCACTTTAGTAGCAATAGAGCTTCTTGTGAAAGAGTTCATCCAGGGTAGTACTGCCACCTTACCTATTTCTACCGCCCAGTAGTAATGTTAGTATTACTTGTTCCGGTTTTGAAGGGTAAGGGTGCTGATGAAATTACAGGCACATGGGATGTGTCAACTTATGTCTCAAGGTGACGGGCGCAGTGGTAACGCTCCTCAGATCTTTGCGATTTAAAGCTCTGAGAGTAGCACTGCAACTGTTATGGACAGGCGTGTAGCTTACCATCAGACACACGACTTGTTCGTCCCGTCACTTGATATTACAAAAAAAATAAAAAACTTGAACATAATTTCATATGTATTGTCTAAATAGTCTGTCCTTTGGGTCTTCTGTGCTCCCAGACGACTCTACTATAAGAGCATGTTTAAAAAACAAACAAAGGTATTGATGCTTCTTTTAAATAATAAATTAAAAACAGCGCGGATGTTGTGAAGATTACGTGATCGACACAATTGAAAAAGTCATACCACGAAACTTGAAAAATTCAAGTTCTAGGCATGACTAGTTTTCAATTAGCAAACTGTAAAAATACGTGTGTATTCGGAAATATTTTACATATATTCCGATTTCGACTATGAATTAGAACAGTCACTGAATCCTCATTTAATATAAATCAATATATTCTAGCCATTCTAATCAAACGTGTCATGTACAACATTCTAAAAGCCTCTATACCGATGAAAATGAAATAAATTAATTTTATTGTTAATTGTATTGTCCCGTATGTCTTTTTAACAAATGTATTGATATCGAGTTCTTAGGTTTTCGCGATTGTTACACATAGGAAATGAAACTATTTTTCCGGATTTAAATTGCGTATATTTGTTTTTTCAAACAAAACGACGTTTCGGGCCCTTTACAGGTCCCATGATCAGTCAAGCGATTTAAATCCGGAAAAATAGTTTCATTTCCTAAATATATTGATGTTGAGGTACTTTCTGCCGTCCTAAAACAGAGCTAAGTTATTCTTCTTTTTGAATCTGGTAGTTAATCAGATTCCACCAATTTCAAACCTATTTCAATAGTAGGTAACGACTAGCAGTGAAAAAATGTCTTAATCAACTTTGTGCACTTTTAGATAGTAATAACTTAATAATAATATGTTTTAAAATTAATTTTTCTGTATTTTGTGAACTTTGCATAGCATTTGATTATTTGTGCGTCGTGCATAATATTCTGCGGACAAAAACTTCGTTCTAGTTCGAAGACATTGGTATACGTGGTCATTACGAGCTCACCTCAAGGTCCAATTATAGATCCATTTATATTTTTATTTACTTATATATAGCTTGGAGGAAGGTATTGAATGTTTTCTGCTTATTTAAAGTTATAATGTTGCAATGTATCTATGGCGGTGTTAAGAACAATGTTGCTTCCAAATAGTATGCACGTTACTGTAAATACGAGTACCTTGAACGTTGATAAGTAAACAAAGTTGAGTAAAATTTACATTACCTGAGGTAATGTACAGTGAGCCACAAACGTTATGTTTACAAACGAAAAATTTAATTTTAAAAAGTTTATTTTAGCAATTTTCACATTCTATTCAGACTTTGTAGTAATGTCGTCGATATTAATAGAATCTTTGTTAAGCTGGGCGTGCTATACAATTTGTAACAATTATATTGTATATAATTATGTACTATGTGTCGTTAAGTAGTTTGCACGTTTCTCACTTTAGCTCAAATCTGTTATGTCTTTATTCAAATGCTATGCCGATTATTGGATTTTAATAACGTTCATAGATTTTGTCTTTTTGAAATTAATAATAATGATGTAAACCAGCATATTTATGTTCTTTGCTCTTATCGCAGA